CCCACGTCTCAGTTACTAAAACAATATCAGGACAATGGACGAAAACCTGAGTCTGAAGCAAAGGCATCTTATTAAGCAAGGATCTGGCATTTAAAACAAAAAGTTTGAAGGGAAAGGCTGTTAGTTTTTGAGGGAGGTGGGCCGAAGTTACTTTTGGGTAATAACCGTGACGTTCTTCAGAATGTAGCTAGGAGAATACAACGCTGGAGTGCTGTTCTTCAAAACGATGACTCCACGGTTCAATATGTGCCCACTCAGGAGTTTGGAGCTCCGGAAGCCTTATCACTACTGTGCGCAGCCAATGAAAACCAAGAAGACGTGGTGGTCGCCAGTACGCGAATACAAGATGACGACGAGTTTGGAGGCGTCATCCGGCGGTCGCCGCTCACAGCCGAGCATATCAGGATCTCCATTGCAGCGGATTCCCTCTTGCGCCAGGAGAAGGAATTTATTCGGAACGGTTGACCCAGTGACGATAAAGTATACCCATCGATAAATCATTTCAGGAACAGGAGGGAACAGTTGTATATTACGGAAGACTGCATATAGTGCAATGGTAAAGTGGGGATCCAAGCTAGATATCAACAACAAGTTTTGCGTGAGCTCCACGCCGAACATCAGGGTATGACCGGCATAAAACAACTGGCACGAAAGCACGTATACTGGCCGGGAATTTATAACAACGTGGAGTCTTTTGTCCGAAGCTGCGGTCCCTGTGGACGTGAGATTAGGAACCCACCGAGATACCACCCGTGCCATGGCCAGGGGTAGCGAAACCTTGGAGTAGATTTCATATGGACTTCGTGGGACCATCTTTCAATCGAATGTTTCTAATAGTTGTCGATGTATGGTCCAAGTGTTAGAAGTTTTCGACGTCGCGGCAGCTACCGCTGGCAAGGAAAACAGAAGAACTAACGGCAAGATACGGCATCCCCACAGAGCCTGATGGATAAATGCATTTAGTTAACGTAGTTACTTTTCCAACAACTGCTTCGGAAATGGGAATCCGACATGTGGCGTCACCACGATTCCATCAAAAACCGAATGTCCAGGCAGAACTTTTCATCGATACGTTCAAGAGAGCAATGAAGAATATGTGCAACACTGGCGTTATGCTGGAGTATCTCAACATGTTCCTTTTTGCCTATAGAACAACTCCAAAAAGTGATCTTGGTGGCCAGACACCAGTCCAGCGGTTTTTGGGACGACAGCCGAATGCGCGAATACAGTATCTACAACCGGACGCTCGAGTTCCACAGACGACGGAACATTACTTTTGCGAGGAAGATAAGGCGTTTTCTCGCAACTATAAAGCCGGAGAGAAGCCCTGGATAGAGGGTATAATAAAAAAATTTAGAGGCGTTGTGTTTGAGGTGGAGACAGCTGTCGGAAAAATAAAGAGGCTTGCTAATCAGTTCAGGACTAGACACATCAGAGACAGTCAAGTGGCACTCGACCTGCTGTGTGATACCTTTGAGGTTCCGATCCCCATGGTAGACAGTCAGACAACAATACCCGTCGTTGGCAGAATTAGCAGAAGAAGGCAACCGCCATGGAAACTGGTCCTGGACCCGAAGAAGAAGAGGTACGAGGTCCAACTTTCAAGAGCGGGAGGTGTCATGGAGAGTGCAGGCGGCGTAGAGCCACGGCCTAAGACGCTGAACAGGGGATCAAGCCGGCGGCGTGAGACACGCGTGAAGGTAGACGGCCGGTCGGCGTGCACAGCAGCGCAGAGCACGTGTGGCGGCTTTGCTCAGGCTCGCGGCCCCATCAATGACTGGTAGAACATTCCAGACGTTTTCGCAGGGGACTATCGCGCACGCGGTGGCCAATCAGCCACCAGCACGTCCTGGACAGGAACGTTCTAGAACGCTCTCAACGTTTGGCACGTCATTGGGCGGAATGCTTCCAAACGCACAGGGGTCAAAATAAATAGCACATCTTTCTGACGGGTTGTAACCCCTCCTGTTCGCATGTTGCCAATAAAATGCCTGTCATCCGAACCGGCTCTCTATCTGTCCTGCGGTCATAACAACAGATATGAAGAAGTCGCATAAGAGATTGGTCTCATCGGAGGCTTCATTTAACTCATTTCCCCGATGATTCTTTAGACAAGGAATGGAGTCCCGCTCATGTTTTGCCCTATTAACATATTCGAGTAACTCCTTCGGATCTTTCTGTATTTCTTTGACTATGTTGGACTCATATATCGCTTGTTCCGTCCTCAGGGACTTCGACAATTATTCCGCTGTTTCCTAAATCCTGAGAAGTATTCAGACAGTTGACCTGTGGTGTAGCTCTTCAACAGTCTCTTTTTCATCCTGGGACCTCTTTTTATTTTCGATGACATTCACGACGATCGAGAGACGCATAATCTCTTTTAAAGCGGATAACAATTTTCCATCAAACACCGAATCACGCAATTGTGGAAAACCTGGGCGGCGTTCGGGTCAGATACATGCGAAAGGTTCCACTTAATCTCAGTCAGCAGATCTTTCATTTTTGAATAATCCTCTTTCCATACATTTCTATCTTCTACCGCTCGAACTGTGGCTACAAAAAAGTGACTGTGCTCCCAAACAAGAACACAAGGATCATTTCGGCCCAGGGGCGTTTTAGAAGTCAATTCAAGGACACAGTCTTAATCCGTGGTAATGATTAGATCCAAACAGCTTGACTGCTGTCCACTTCGGAATCGGGTGTCCATTATAGCATGTTGAGTAAGGAATTCTTCAGCGACCAACTGAAGTAGCTTCAGGATCGGAAAGAAGGTGAGCGAAAATCGGAAACTGTGCGGGCACGACCTCTGAAAATTGTTTTGAACAGTAAAGAGGAGGCTAGCTTACTTCTGTCCAGGAAAAGCAGCCTCCGAAACTCTCACAAGGAAGTTTCTTTCAGCCGGACTATTCTCCAGCGGAACGTCTGAAACGCCGCGAATTGGTAACGGAGCTGAAGAGAGGACTTGCAGCGGGAGAGAGCAACTTGGCCATTTTCAGGGGACGAGTGATACAGAGGAAGTGCGATGTTGTTTTGGAACCAGCCAGTCATCATGATGGCGGCAGCAACATAATATTGGCAAACCCGAGACAAACCGAACGAAGCTCTGTCGAATGTCGCAAACTAAATTTCTCTTACACCAATGCTCAGAGTCTGTTTTCCAAGCTTGACGAACTGAGAATACAGGTAGCCGATACTCTTCCCGATGTTATAGCAATAACA